GTTTTTTATGACATTATTTAGCAGTACATACACAATGAATTAATTTTCATTTTTTCTTGTATAAATATATTTGATGTATAATTATGCAAGTATGTATGTAAGTACATATTTATAAATTATTATGTGTATAAATATATTTAACTTATTTTTGTTTGCAGACGCTATTCAAATCTTGAGGCCATTTATTACATGCATTTTTAGTTGATTTCATTTCAGCTTAATTGCTTGCTATTTTTAGCACGCTATGAATATATTTTTTTTATTTATTTTCTCTTTTGTTTAGTTAATTTTTTTTTATAATTTACACCGATAAGTACACACATACATACAATTAAAATGTATTATTAATTTAATGTTAGCCAATTATAGCCAGAAAATGAGCAACAAGTTGCCGTCACACAATCGATAAGCAAACATAACTGAAACTTTCATTTCTATGCTAGGCATTTGAAAATTCCTATCGATTGTATGCAACACTTTTCCAAACTTTGTAAGCTCACTAAAGCTGCTTTTGTAGGGCCGGCTATATGTATATACTTATGTTCTTTTATATTAATGCATATATGTAGTTATGTATGTTTTTCATACATACATAATTTTAAGAATTTAATAAATTTAATGATATTATGAAAATATATGTTTTTTTTTATTTCTAATTTTCAATGCATTTATGTACAAACACATACCCAATTTTGTCACTGTGTGTACGTATTTTTCAATATTTATTTGCCTTTGTAAATTTTGTTTTTAGGAAAATGAGCTGATCTTCCGCGGTTTAACCTGCTTTATATTTTATGGAGTAGTTATAGACAAATGCATTTGTGGAACTATTTTTTTATGTTTGGTTACAGTATTTTGCCATTTCTGTGAAATGAATTGTTTTATTTTTCGGTTTTTATGATCATAGATACAATATAAATATCTGCTCATACTTGTTCATACACTTATTTATATATGTTTGGAAATCAAAAACAGTGTTTAAAATTATATAATTTTTTACACTAAAAACTACTTTATATATTTTAAGTCCAAATTAAATCTGATTGTGGTTAAAACGCTCGAGCTAGCCGGTTTTAAATAAAATTAGCCGTGGTCGATCTTTTATATTTATGCTTATCTATATCTTCATCTCAATATTCGTCTTCATCGTCTTCATATTCATTTTCTTATTTTCAGTAACTCAAAAAAATTACCACGTGGTAATTTTTTTTGTTATTTTTCTATAAAAATACCGTCCAAGCTTTAACCAAAACCATATGATTCAAAACCATACAATTCAGGAAAATTTTGATTTGACTTTTGAGAGTTTTTTTTGTGTTCTAAAGATTCAGATTAAAAATGATTGTGAAAATTTGTTTAATTAATTTAATTTAAAGATTAAAAAATTTAAATTTTTATGAACATTTGTCGAATTTTAATAATATTTTGTATAAAATTTAAAACTGTGATTTCTATGGTTTTAATTAAAGCTTAGACGTTTTTTTTTATAAAAAAATAACAAAAAAATTAGCTCGATATACATTACGAATATTAAAAACAAATCAACACGTGATAATTTGTTTGAGTCACTGTACCTTCATCTTCATCTTTCCCTTACCATCTTCGTCATGTACCACCTACACCGTGGTGTTAATAGTTTAGGACAAACTTCTCCGAAATCCAATTAGAAGTCTCTCTTCCGATTTGTGAAATACCCAGTGAAACTTCGGAAATCCTCCCAGCCTAATTGAAGGAGTGTTTCATTTTACCCATTTGCTATAGGCTCCCTAGTATATGCTTTGTTTAGCCCACAAAACGGGTTCGGACCAGATGGACATATTTCGAAGATGTGCCTCTTCAAATGCATTCTTTGTTACAAATATTCTTTTGCATATATTTTGGCTAATATTTGTTCATCAAGATATACGAATTGTTTAAGAAGTAGTTGAATCTTATATGAGTTGAATTAATTTGTTTGAAATAATTAAAAAAAATCTAATAAATTATAAAGTACCCCATACACTTGGCAAAGCATGCATATCATGCGCGGCACTCAGTGTTGTTTGGAGTTTATTTTTTTTTTTTGTTATGAAACCTAACGAACAGTAGATGTATGAACAAGTATGCATGTACATACATAAGTACATATATACGTATATATATATGAGCACTATGTATATGGTATTAGTTTTACATTTAAGCATTTTTTTACAAATAAAGCATCTGAGATTGTGAATCAATTAATTATATTTAGTTTAGGCTCGGATGAAGTTAATATTTATGTACTTTATAGGTGTAAGTGTGATTTGTTAGAAAAAGTATTTTTGTTTGTATATATGTATGTATATAAATAAATTAGTGTATGTTGCTGTAGATTCTAGAAAAAGGTTTTTTTCTTCATGCTTATCTATGTACACACATATGTATGTATGTAAGTATGTATAAATAAAGTGTTAATATGTATGAGTGTAAATGCTTGCGTGTAAGTACATTTGTATGCAATATGTAAGTAAATATGTTTATGCATGACTATTTGTGTATACTTTAATGCTAAAAAGTAATGAAAGTTACGTACTTTTGAGAATATTCACAATGTTTTTCGCACACAAAAAATTAAGTGGTATTTTCCGCATACATATTTCTTAAGACTAGTTTTCACTATGTCAAATTGTCAAATTTAATGCCATTTGCTAACAGATAATTGAATGTAATTTTCGAAAATGTGGTAAAAAACGGTATGTTAAATCATTTTCACTAAAATATAACTTCAGTCGTTTGCAAGTCTTGCCAAATAAATTGTCTATATGTTTTTGGATTCTTGTATTTACTAACGATATGATAACAACAAATTTTATTTGTCACAATATGACAAAGTGAAAACAAGCCTCTACTCGCTTTCGACTCACTAGATGGGCTTCAAATTCTCTTTAAAATTGAAATACCCACATAAATGCGCTTAATACGGCATATTTTTTGTTGTTGTATTTTACTACATAAGTGATAGTTCTTCCCGCGTTGTTTTGACAAGTATTGACATTTTCTCGCTGACAGCTGTCAAGCAGTTGTCAATGCTGCCAGTGTAGCGCTATGCGTTTTTACTAGTAATTGAGTAATGTTCATATGTATTTGTTAGAAAAAAATTATAGCTAATCTATAGGTATAGTATAAATAGGGAAGAATTTGACAAACAAACTTATTTTATAAAGTCCAATTGATTTTTAGTGGATATATTTTCAATTAAATTATTTACTTATTCCTTTTTTAGTTTAATGTTAAGGATTGTTTTGTTTTGTTTCTTTGGCAAAGGAATTTGATTCCTCGCGCAATTTACGTACACAATACTTAGTTGTTGTTTTTTTTCATATTCTCATCGCAATTTTGAAAGTTTTTTAAACTTGACAAAATGTTTGAGACTGACTTAAATACGCCATAGCTGCACATCGCTTCATCGCTTTTTTTAAATGATACTATTATAGTACTTTTTTGTTTGCGTTGGTGGACTTTTATTTAGTGTTATTAAAATCGTTTTTAGAATATTGTTAAAGCGATATTACATAGCGTTTTCACTATGCCCGAAATTGCACAATTTTGATAATCAACTTCAATTTGAAATTGGAAATGCTTATGCGACTGATCTCAAATAAAAATCAATTTCTAACAAGCTACGGCTTATGTTTTCGCTTGAGCTTCTGCTGATCTCTTAAAATAAAAAATGAGAAACTATTTCTCTAGAAACGACTTCATCTTATTTTAAACTAATTTTTTTTTAATATTTTAATGATTATTTTGAACCATTTATTTTGTTCTATTTAATTTTTCTTGCTTAAAATTCTTTCTCAATGAGGTAAGTTTTTAGTCACATTCACGAAACTGAGTCAAAATTTGACCTACCTATCTAAAGTTGTGACTTATACACAGTTTCCAAAGCAGGTTTTTCCATGACCAAATTGATAATCGTATCGCGTACACAATTTGTGTGACGTGGAAACACACAATAATATGTTTTCTTCGAAAGCTTTGTGTACTACACAGGAATTTCGTTCAATTATGCCGTATTTTCACGGTGTATTAGAATGACAAACATTTTAATGAGCAAGTGCGCCATTAAAAAATAACCATGTCGTAGCGCTGCCAGGAATAGTCATTAAGCTCGTGTCCACATGGTCTTTTTTAGTAGATGATTAGGTTATAAATCAAAATTAGTGGCTATTTTTTTTTATATTGTATTATATGTATGTATGTATGTAAGTATAACCGTTGCTTAAAATATAAATTTTTTTGTAATTTAAATTTTGTTTTGATAAAATTACAAGTTACCAAAAAAATTAGATGTATTACATAAAATTTTAAATTTAGAAATTTTATCTTAAAGCATACAATTTTAAGGTACTTAATTTTTTTTTGATAAAAACATAAACGAACAAGTAATTTTTTAGCAAAAAGCAAAACCGACTTCAATTCTCATATAAAAAATTTAAAGCCGCGCTTAATTTCTTCATGATCCATTGATCGGATCTAAACAAAATTAATATGGGGCCACCTGCTTTAAAAAAGAATTTTAGCAATCGATTAACGTAGGCCAAAGTTGTGTGGTAACTTACATAACAAAAAAATAATAATAATAACAAGTAAGAAAGTCTAAGTTCGGGCGGAGCCGAACATTAAATACCCGGCGCAAGTATTAAATATGTTTTTTCACCTTTCCGAAACCTTCCGCTAGATGGTAAGCCGGGGTGTATACATTTTGCGTAAATTAGCGTCCTTCAATTTCGAAATATTGAAGTTTCAAGCATTTCTGAAATTTACCGTTATATGAGAAGCGGCCGTTATTTTAGTCCGATTTCAATAATTTTCAACGTTTTGCTTATATGTGGCAAGCACAATAACCACACCGAGTTTGGTACAAATTGGNTTTGATAAAAACATAAACGAACAAGTAATTTTTTAGCAAAAAAACAAAACCGACTTCAATTCCCATATAAAAATTTAAAAACGCGCTTAATTTCTTCATGATCCATTGATCGCATCTAAACCAAATTAATATGGGGCCACCTCTGAGGTTTCGCCTTTCCTTTAAAAAAGAATTTTAGCAATCGGTTAACGTAGGCCAAAGTTGTGTGGTAACATACATAACAAAAAAATAATAGTAATAAAAAATATTCCGACGAATTGATAACCCCTTCCTTCTTTGAAGTCGATTTAAAATGAAATTTCTAAACATTGTAAATTTTGAAATTTTGCAAAACTTATTTTCAAAAATTCCAACGCCTTTTATTAACACTAAACACAAACGTTTTTAAGTCCCTTCATACGCATCGATGTGAAAATATGCTATTATTTACATTACAGTGGTGGATTTTCGGTATTATGTAGTTAAATATTTATAAAGTCCAACACTCAGTATGCCCTCAAACACTTATGCATCACAAGTACTATGTATTTTCTAATAACCTGTTTTTTCTTTATTGTTAATTGTGATAATTGGCCTGGTGACAGTGGTTTCAATTTTTACGCTTTGTAAGTGTGTATAAACCAGCAAATTAATTTAAATTAATTATCCCGACCCCATTTCTTAGTCATATCCACTCACTTTCTCATTACACTTTTCAATTTTACATCACAAAAGGCTGCTGCTACTGCTGCTGCTTCACCTCCACCTACACCTCCTCCACTTCATCCACTTCATCATCCTTCTTGCGCTGCGTCCTCTGCGCTTACTTCTTATTCTTCTTTCTCTTGCTATTCTCCTCGGAAGACGTAGACTCTGCTGAGGTAGCTTTGGGATTGGGTGCAGCACCAACAACAACTTTATAAGTGGTTGGCTTCTTGCCGAGCTGTTGTGTGGGTGGTTGTTGTGGTGTGGCATGTGTTATGTTGTTGCTAATGGTTGGAGTGGAAGTGGTGGCTGTTGTAGTGGCGGTCATGCTGCTCGATGGCGTAACTGGCGTTTCATCCAAGAACAATGGATTCTTTACCTCCATTTCGCCCATTGGCTATGTACGCGTTGGAGTGTTGGAAATCGATGAAGAAGCAAAAACACAAAAAAAAAAAAAACGAAGAAAAAAATGGAAAATAAATTTATTATTCTCCGCCTGCTCAACCACTCGTTCGACACACTTAATATAATTCTATGTGCAAATATGATTTGCAAGAAATACTTACCGGTGCAAGACCAGGACACTCATACACAGTGTAATCACCCTCCTCGTTCTCCTCATCATCGCTTTCCACATCCGACATGCCGCAGCTGCCCTCCGCCGCCTGACGATTCTCCATCGCAATTATCTGCTGTTTCTGATGCTGATAATGGTACATTTGTGCGCTTTGAGCCAATTTGCGATCGCCTNTTCGACACACTTAATATAATTCTATGTGCAAATATGATTTGCAAGAAATACTTACCGGTGCAAGACCAGGACACTCATACACAGTGTAATCACCCTCCTCGTTCTCCTCATCATCGCTTTCCACATCCGACATGCCGCAGCTGCCCTCCGCCGCCTGACGATTCTCCATCGCAATTATCTGCTGTTTCTGATGCTGATAATGGTACATTTGTGCGCTTTGAGCCAATTTGCGATCGCCTGAGGGCGAGATGTCCTTATTCGGTCCGGTCACGCCATATGCCGGATATTCAACATCCGCTGCCGCCTTTGATTTGCGATGTAATCTGCAAGAGTTTGACAAAAAAAAAGAAGCCACGTTAAGTAAACAACAGTAATGCCACGCGCCATGCGTTAGCGCGCAGTAGGAGAATAGACTTACGTGTACCAAGCGATGCCGAGCGCTATCAGACCCACTGTCACAGCGGCGCTCACACCTGCAATCAATGCCACCAGATACATGCCCATCTCACCGTCCACGCCCAAATGTTGCCGCACCACCATACCACCATTGGCATCACTACCGCCGCCCAATGCCACCACGCGACTATTGTGCATGGCCATCACCGACTTGCCTTCCTTCTGCAGCTTGTCGATGAGCGCGTGTCGTGGA